TGTGCAGCGAGTTTCTCAATTCGGGTACGGCTGTTGTTGACTTGGGCCTTTTGACTTTGTCTAGAGAGTCCTGTGAAATTCATTCATTCCTGGTGTTGTCTTTAGGTCCTAGGGTGCTCTGGCAAGTTGCATTTACTGCCTCTCTTAACTTATCCCAGTGTTCGTTGACTTCACATTCATCCAGATCTTGAAGGGCTTGAAATCTGTTCTTCAGTTTCAACTTGAACTCATTCTTTTTTACTGGGTCTTTCAGAAGGCTCACTTCATACTTTAGACGATTTCCAGCGGCGACTTGTGCATATCTTCTCAGTTTTAGTTTCATCTTTCTAAGGATCAAATGATGGTCTGATGCAACGTGTGCTCTTTGTAAGACTCGGACGTCCTCCAGTGAGCGTCTTAACTTTCGGGAGATGCAAAAGTGATCAATCTGGTTTTCCGTTGTTCCGTCCGGGGAGACCCAAGTGGCCTTGTGAATCCTTTTGTGTGGGAAGATTGTACCTCCAATGACCAAGTTGTTGAATGTACAGAAGTTTTGGAACCTTTCTCCATTGTCTCCTAATCCGTGTCTGCCCATGATTTCCTCATTGTGACTATTGTCTGAACCTACCTTTGCATTTAGATCTCCCGTGACAATGTTGATGTCCTTACCTGGAAGTTTGTCCATGACGTTCTGCAGGCGGTTGTAGAAGTTATCTTTATTCTTCACTTCTGCATCATTGGTTGGAGCATATACTTGTATGATGTTCATGTTAATGACCTTCTTCCTACCATCTCTTACCTTGAGTTCTTTCTTAGTTCCAAATGAGGCCATGATGATCCTTGGACCATGCACTTCCCAGCCCCTGAATGTCTTTTGAGCTGTTTTTGATATGATCATCCCTACTCCTTCCCTGTGTGGTCCATCACTGTCATTTCCTGAATAAACGAAGAGCTCCCCCTCTTTCATTCGCTTCTGTCCAGACTGGTTCAAGTGGGTCTCGCTGATTCCCAGTATGTGTAGTTGGTATCGGTGCATTTCTTGGAGAACTTGTGCAGTTTCTCCAGCCTCATAAAGGGTCCTAACGTTCCACGAGCTGATCCGAAGAGACTTGAACTTGGATGATGGTGGAGGCTTCTGCCCAGCAGCTTCCTTTCGGCTTTCACTGCCTTGCATCATAAACTCTCCATTTGGAGAAGATCCACGATCAGCCAAGCAGAGATAATGGTTTTTGCTTGTATGTGTTTCTGTAACAGGTTCTTTTTATGAGAGAGGTTGTTAACCTCATGACTCAACCCCCGACCTGGAGGGAGGATGACTCTGTTTCAGGAGTCACTACCTGGTTCACCATTTAGTCGCCTCGTACGACACGCTAGCACCACGTCAGTCCTATTCTTCTCAATGCCGAGAGTGCACGGCTAACTTCTATTCAAGCTAAATGGATTTTTTTTTCATTGAAAGCAAGGCAAATAAATAAGCTTTCAGATGATATCAGTAACTCTGCATTCGGTTTCAAAAATAATTTCACCCTTATGAATTTTATGTCAAATAAATTCGTTTTGAATGAATACAATCTGCTCCAGAGAACAGCATTCTATTACAATTTTTGTGCGAGATATGTAGAAAAAAAGTTGTTTAGTTTGTTTTTTTCGGATCACTCTGTACACGGCGTCACTTTTCACCCGATTCTGTTACCTTTAGTTAGCGTGACTCAGCAGCCCGCCGGAGCTCCCCGACTCGGGGGTCACTGGGTTAATGAGCCCTGACGCGACTTTGCCGGTGTAAGTTAAGAAGTTCGCATTTTTGTCTATGTTTGAAATGATATAACTTCTTCCCCATTCCACACAACAAACCATTACGTGCATGTTCTAAAAGCTCAATGTCTTGAGATTTATTCTGTGTTAGAATGGTTAATTTCTGTACCTTAGTTTTTGTTCTAGATAAGTGTTTGTAGAGTACCCACTTTATCCTATTTTAGTTACATACTTATGAATAGATTATTGTCTATTTTAAAAAGGCACAACAGATCTTTCCAAAATCTGTGTTAAACTGACTACGAATATCATGTCTTTTACCATGAGAAATCTTAAATCTGAGCGAGGAGTAATTGTCAAGATATAAGAGAAAAAAGATGCACATCTGCATTTTTTAACTAAAGGCACTCAGCGTTAGCTCTTGTTCTACCATTCTAACCAAGAGAAAGTTACTCTGTGTTTGTTCATGAATCATGCTGTGTCTGTGGCAGCCTGCACACAACTATATAGTATGAGATTTTAAAAAAACCCAAAAGTGTGTTAATGCATGGGTAGAGATGAACTTCTTGTATGGAATAAAAATAATGACAGCTGAAATTCATTCTTAGTTTTTGTGTCGGACATATGCGCGGACACTTATGAATGTAAAGAAATCAGACTTACCATTAGACATATTTTAACCGAATGTCTAGACTTTGGAGAGGTCCGAAGGAAATACTTCAAATGCAAGACGTTTTTTTCCGTCGTTGGTCCTAACAGAATCTTGGATTTTATGAAGGCCTTTGGCCTTCATGGGAAATTATAAAATGAAACAACATTTTTTAAAATGTTATTGTTATTTGTAAGAGTTGTTTTAAATTGAAAATATATTTACACCGAATTTTAATATTTTAACATTTTAAAGTCTAACTAGCTGGAATGATCGGTGCATTAACGTCAGCAGAAGGTCATTGGCTTATGTCTATGATGTAATTTACATTCTACTGGAATGGAGCAATAAATCTTGAGAGATGCACAAATTAGAAGGTTTAGATCTATAGCCTACTCTCAAAACAGTGCGCCCGGTTAGTGAACGGAAACCTCCTTTTCTAAAATTACAGAGACGGAAGCGTCGGCCTACAAAAGCCCAAATAAAGAAATTTAGCTTTTTGCAGAAAAACTGTCTCCAAACTGAAAAAACGAAGGGCATCATGATCTGGAGAATATTTTAAAGAATCTTTTGGTGAAAACCGCATGTCGATCGATGCAGCCATTGAAAAGCCTTTTGAATAGCAAAATTCGGCCACCACAAATAGATAATAGATAGTTGACCAACCGTGCAGTGAACTGTTGGGAATGCAACCAACTTGTGTTTCGTGCGCTCATATGACCTTATGCAGTTGCGAGCGCCTTAAAACCCCATACTAAATTAAACTAAAAAAGAAACGAAAATAAAAGCTGGAAAAGCCTGGTGCTGATTCAGTGTCACTGGAAAGCTAGAAATTATTCTTATAATACAATCACGAGAAGTCATCCCTGTTATTCAGTCAACTTACAAAACCTAGATCTAGCGTTTTAAGAAAAATAAGGAATAATTTATGGAGTGTAACTGATAGCCAATATCTAGCGTTTTAAGAAAAATAAGGAATAATTTATGGAGTGTAACTGATAGCCTAATGTCCGTGTATTACATTGTTGTAGATGTATTCTGGCACTAAAATCGGTTTGCACTTTTTCATAGAGAGCCATCAGGGTAATTTTGATAAACTTTAGAGAAAATATGCGAATATTCTCGATTATATTAGACACATAAAGTTGTACAGTCAAACCTGCCCTGACGGCCACCTCTATAAGACGGCCACCTGTACAAACAGCCACTTTCCATTTCCCCCCTTGCGTTTTTTCTATATAATTTAACTGTGTAAAACGGGCACCTGTCCAACGCGGCCGCGGCCACCATAATTTAACACACAACCCCTATCATACTAAGCAATAATACCTGTCTTAGACGGTCACCTTAGTGACTCCATTACGTTTTGACATAAATTGTGCATTGGCCCCTGGCGTTGTGGGCGAGCCGTCATAATTCAATCACCTGTCGTTGTTGTTAGGTAGTCCCTCCAACCGATCATGTTGCGTAGGCCCCTCCCACTGTTGACCAATAGCTACCAATTTTCAGCTGCTGGTGAGGTAAGCGTGTGATCCCTCATAACCCATAAGCCCCACCCAGAACTCATACACAAATCGTAAGTGAGATGAGTGGTCACTGTTTACCCAGTCTGTAACAAAGTAACCTGAACTTGTTACAGAAGCGTCGCTCGTTCTCCGAGTGGTGGCGACCCATGTGTTTGTTTTAACATGGCACTCGGTCTTCCTTGTCTGATACATTTCGTTTTATTGTCACCCTTGTGCAAAATCAGCGACAAAATAAAAGTTACAAACGAAATACAAACCAACAACAACAACACCAACAAAGACAACATAAAGGGGCTACTTTCGATTGGGGCCTCAGATGGGAATGGTTTGTTTTCTTTATCTTGATCAGTCCTGCCTAAGACGGCCACCTGTCTTATACGACCACTTTTCTCCTTGACAATGGGTGGCCGTCTTACACAGGTTTGACTGTATTTGGAGGAATTACTTCATAACGAATTGAGTGCCAGGTGGATAAAGTTGCAAAATTACAGCTTCCTATTATACGCGCAGATACCATCTTTTCGGAGTATCTGCACCAGTGCTATGTCATTCATGTTCCAAAAGTTCCACAGTTTTTGTTGTGCTTTTTATTTTACATTGATTTTTTTTTTCATTCACACTTGTACGAAAAATTTGACAATTTTTTAGCATTGCCGACTTTAGCACGTCTGACGAAATAACCAGACAAGTTACAATGTCCGTTGTCTCAAGAGCAAAAATGTGTGCTTTGGGTGCATTAAATGATAATTACCATAAATACAAGGATACACCTAAAACTGTACGTTGAAAAGTACCAAAAATGAAGTCAGCCCAGACAGAGCGACGACAGGGAGCTGACCCCCGTGACCCCAATGTGATAAGGCGCTTGGCGGAGAACCCCCCCCCCCCGCTACAACTAAAATTCCACTGCCGGTGTGCCATGTGTAAAATTTACAGGGTGATCAAAAAAAAAACTAAACAACTTTTTGTCAGAAGTTAAAATGATGTTGCTGTTAAGTACAGGATGCATGAGGTTTTTTCATTTTCCGCAAGCGGAAATTTCAAGCAGCAGCTACAGTGTATTTGATTTCAATTTTTTGTTGTTGTATTCCCAGTTGCAATATGATGAAAGAATAGCTGATCTTGAAAGACAGCTGTCCCTGTACCGAGCTGATGGAGCGCCTTCAGAAACATCAGCTCTCAGGGATCATCCACACAGCCATGCTCTGGCTTTGGAACGAGAGTTGGACATGGTCAAAGACAGGAGCCGCAAACAGCTTGCTGAGACGCAGGCAGAAGTGGACAGACTCACCGCTGAGCTCAACAAAGTTAGGAAAAATCAAGAAAGTAAGAAATGATGTGAATAAATAGAATCAGTATAAAAGCCAGACATCATGTCATGGTTGGTGGTAGGGCTGTACCCCGGTAGCAAACCCGCTCGTGCTCACAAGCCCCTAGTTCAAGTCACAAGCCTCAAATCAGTAGGTCAAATCATCAAATCAAATCACCAGCATGATAAGTTGAGTCTAGCGCAAACTGTAACCTCCTTGGTCTAGTCTAAACTTCAAGTCCACAGCAACTAGCAATCCGCGAAGCCACTCGTGTTAGGCCCCCTCATCATCCCCACCCTGCTTGCAATCCGCAAAGCCGCTTACGTCAGAAAAAGAGAGAGGGGGAGAGTGAGAGATCTCGCCCACAGAGTCACTGCGCGGCGTGGCGCTGTAGTTTACTCGATTAATCGAGGCCTGCACAAGCCTCAAGTCCCGTCCGCTGCCACAGGCCCCACAATTCACACAGTACTGATTTGCGCTAGGCTTACAGATTTGCCCCAGGACAAGCTCCAAACCTGACCTGCTGACTTGTACTGTCTCGATACACCGAGCGAGCGGCATGGGCTCGATGGCGTAGGACCGTCTTGATGGCGACAAGACAGTCCGATGTGTTCAAACAGCAAGACAGTACTGTGCGCTGTGTGAACTTTGAACCGTGGAGGAAGGGAGAGGCTGGGCTTGTTTTGGTGCAAGGCGTAGAGAGCTGAAGTTATTTTTAACTTCCCGCCGTTGATCAGCTAAGCGAATGGATAAGTGAGAGGGAGCGTGGTATTGTAGTAACAGAGACCTAGGTTTCTGATAATAATAAGAATAAGTAGACTTAGATTACCCTAGAATGGAGAACTCCAGGGGTCGTTGTGATTGGCTTTTGTATGTTATGTATGTAACCTATTTTGTAGATGTGTTACACTCACAGTGACATAATACAGAACATTTAGGAGACGGGCTAGGCCTACTTCAACCCAATGTCAGGGCCAACCTGGGCTGAGAGGGAACAACGCCCCAGCAGAAAGACGGGGGTTCTCAGTAAAAATTTCTCCCCATACGGGAATCGAACTGAGGTCTTTTGCGTGCGACGGTGAAGCCTTGGCTCGTGCACATTAAAAATAAACAGGCCTTAACATCGTAAGAATAGCCGATCCAATATTAATTTTTAAGTGCATTGAATAGAGCTTTTTGTTTTTTACAACCGAACTATAAAAAAAACCCAACCAATCTTGCACTTTTGGTGCAAGCTTCTCAACGCAAATAACCAGAGAATCTATAATATGTACTGAGCCCACTGCCACGAGAGTTCGCGACGTCACGACACAGTACAGCAGGACTGTCCGCGAGTCACAACTCACCGGAAGTTCCCTCCGGTAGCAAGCGGGAGGCAAATCAAACCACAAGCCTGCTCGCAAGACTCTAGCGCAAGACTTCCACTGCTTTACAAGCCTTCGATTAACCGAGCAGAATCCAGCCCTAGTTGATGGTTCATAAACATGCTGTAAAAAGGCCTAACCCATTGCACCCGAGCTACGAGTATATTCGTAGCTGCCACGCGCTTCCGTCCACCGAGCTACGACAATAGTCGTAGTAAAATACCAGTCCACAAAAATCTAGTCCGAACCACTCATCCAGGTTTCTATTGAAAATAACAGGTCGCTGGTAGCTTTTAAACTTTTGCTAGCTTGTTTTGATCCAGTCCAATTGTTCTTTATGCCTTTCTGATCAACTTGTTTATTTTTGTGATGTGCTGTCTTCCCAAATTGCTGCCATAGCAAGAGGTATCAAAATTTTTCAGTTTCTATTGTGGTGGTGTAGAATATCTGAAATCTGTCCATGGATAGTATGTAGGCCAGATGTGTGTCTGGCTAACAACAAGAAGGGTTAACAGCGTGGACATAAAGTTTGCAATGACCAGAATATTAACGCCATTTGGCGCTCTGAAGTGGGAGCAATGCCAAAGAATTCAATTCGGTGTCAAAGAGTTGAACTACACCTTTCAAAAATATCTGTTTACAAAAATTTTAGTGCATGATCTTCATTTAAAGGCATGTCATATTTCAATGTACTGAGCTCTTTCCGGTTTCCAGGTCAGGGAACGGATCAAAATATGTTGATGGTTTCTTGAGGTGTCATTCTATTAACATATCATTCATGGAAAGAGTGGTTCCACGATGAAGAAAGGGGGAGCACACTGCAGCTGTAGTCACTGGATGGAACCAGAATCACTTCAACAGAAATTGTGAGAAACCATGTGCCTGAGTGGACTGATCCTTCACACTTTTCCGACATGAATCTGTTGGGACTTCCAATTATGGGGCTGTGTCCAGACTTTTCCCAACCTTTGTGAACTCAGGCAAAACAATGTGCCCCTTGCTTGACAAATTCTTCGACGTTTCAACGTTGAGCAAGGGAGTGTGTCTCTCGTGGCTGCTGCAACATAGAACACTTTGTTTGACCACCCAGAACTTCTATAACGCATAGTGGGATTCCCATATAATTTTGTCAAACTAAATCCACAAGCATGGTTCTCAGTTTCTTAAATTATTTCACTGTGCCTTCTACAATTTTTCAAATGTGAGCACTTGTTTAAACATGACAAACACACACACATGCGCTCATTTGCGTGCACGCACTCTCATGCACTTGGTGTGTAAGTGCGTAGGTGTTTAAGCAAGGTGGCCCTATAATGACTAACGTTTGCCGTCTTTCCAAGAATTACACTTGAACTGACTGGGCAAATGCCCACAGTCATTTAGGATTGAGTTCTTTTCTCATAAAATTTGGAAACTTAAAGGAGGGAGAGAGAGACTAGCAGACTGGTGCATGCATGAAATAGAGAAATGGGGTGGTGGCAGTGCGATGTGGGGTTGAATATCTTCCAACCACAGAACCTTGCCGCATATTTTCAAAGCTTTGGTCGATGCCAACGAGTATCAGAATGTTCTGTAGACGTACTTGGTTCCCTTCTTTTAAACCCATAAACGTATGCACACATTCCAGCAAGACAATGCGCGCCCACACATTGCCTGTATCTCTTCAGCAACAAAATGTGAAAGTTTTGCTTTTGCCAGCTTACTCGCCGCATGTGTCATCCTGTGGGCCTAAGAGTGAGCTCTCAAAATGACACTAACATAGTGAAATGACTGGGACAAGCTTTTATTCAAGAATGGAATGGACTCCCACTACAATTAATTAAAAAAAGAAGAAAAAACACCTTCCTGGATCAATGCATAGAACATGCCAAGCTTGCATTATTGCAAGGGTGACAGTACCCGCTACTGACAGGAAATTTTACAATCAAGGGGTACCACTCAGTTTGTGCTTAACACTGCACCACATTATGTGACATGATCAAGCAACAGAATTTGATATGTCTGTGTCAATTTTTGTTTTTGCATGTTGAATAATAAGCACAATACAGGCTTCTCTCCAAGTAGGAAGTTTCTATTGCCGCTATATAATGTATTCTACAACATAGTTGCTTATATAAAAAGTACAAATGCTTCTTTTACTGTCATTATAACCACTTGGTATACTTAATATATATATATATATATATATATATATATATATATATATATATATATATATATATATATATATAAGATAAGATAAGATAAGATAAGATACATCTTTATTGTCCAGATCCTGGCACATTGGTTTGGTGTTCCACCACGAGTACACATGCACGCGCACACACACACACACACACACACACACACACACACACACACACACACACACACACACACACACACACACACACACACACACACACACACACACACACACACACACACACACACACGTACACACGTGCACACACATGCACACACAAGTAGGCTTACAATCACATGCATAATATAAATGAGCAGCAATATAAGCAATAATAATCGTAAGCTAGATACACACTCAATGTTATTTTGATGCATGCTCTAAGGTCGTAAGTACACTAAACAAGATGGTTAAGATGGAAGCATTTTGATAGATGATGGTAAAAAAGACCTTCTGTATCTTTCTTTGTTACACATCAGAAGCATGGGTCTTTTACTTCTGACTGTTGTTTTTATTTGAGGGAACAAGGGATGTTTGTTGTCTAAAAAGATGGAATTAATTTTCTTAGTGCAAGCTGTTATGTACGATTCATCCAAGTAGGGGAATGAAGATGTTGAAATTTTACATGCTTTCCGTATTAGTCGATTTAATTTTTCTTTATCTTGTTGTCTTGTGTTCCCGGCCCATGCTGTTATACAAAAATTGATCATACTTTCTATGGTTGAATGGTAGAACATGGACATCAATGTTTTATCAACTTTAAAATACTTAAGCTTTCTTAGAAAAAATAGTCTTTTGTTCACTTTTTTATGCAGGAGAGAAGTGTGGACACGCCAGTTGAGTTTGTTGTCTATTGTAACACCCAAATACTTATAGTCTGACACTTGCTCGATGTTTTCACATTTCATTTTTAGTGGCTGCAGGGGCAGTTTCTTTATTCTAAAATCAACGACAAGTTCTTTTGTTTTTTTCACATTTAAAAGCAGCTTATGATTTTCACACCATTCAGAAAAATTAAGTACAAAATTCCGGTAATCGGTTTCGTTATGGTCAGCCTGAATTAGCCCAATTATAGTTGAATCATCTGCAAATTTTTTTATCAACTTGATGTCACTGTTGTTTATTTGGCAATCGTTCGTGTATAGTGTGAATAAAACTGGTGACAAAACACATCCTTGAGGGGCCCCTGTATTTGTTGTGATGTATGTCGATGAAGAATATATATATATATGTGTGTGAGCCTTTGTCAAAAGGTGGGGGTTTCTTCATATACCTTACAAAATCCTTTCCTGTTCCAATAAAAATCTGCCGTGCTGTATAGGACTGAAGTGGTCCTAGCGTGTCGTACGAGGCGACTAAATTGCGAACCAGGTAGTGACTCCTGAAACAGAGTCATCCTGCCTCCAGGTCGGTTGAGTCACGAGGCTAACAACCTCTCTCGTAAAAAGAACCTGTTACAGAAACACATACAAGCAAAAACCATTATCTCTGCTTGGCTGATCGTCGATCTTCTCTGAATGGAAAGTTTATGACGCAAGGCAGTGAAAGCCGAAAGGAAGCTGCTGGGCAGAAGCCTCCATCATCATCCAAGTCCAAATCTCTTCGGATTGGCTCATGGAACGTTAGGACCCTTTATGAGGCTGGAAAAACTGCACAAGTCCTCCAAGAGATGCACCGATACCAACTACACATACTGGGAATCAGTGAGACCCACTTGAACCAGTCTGGACAGAAGCAAAGGAAAGAGGGGGAGCTTTTCATTTATTCAGGAAATGACAGTGATGGACCACACAGGGAAGGAGTAATAATAATAATGGATTGCATTTATATAGCGCATATCCACTTATGCAATGCTCTATGCGCTTAACATGATACATATAATGGATTTACAAATCAATTTTAAAGATACATAGTGTTACATACTCATGCAAACACATATTCACTCACGCACGCACCACACACATATACATACTCACATACACACATACATACATATGCACATACGCACATACAAACTCACAACGATCTACAGCTTGGATGCATTCTGTCTAATCGAAATATGATGAAAATAGAAATGATTTTAGTTTCTTCTTAAAAATTTCTAGATTTTCTGCTTCTCTGATAGTTTTTGGAAGCCTATTCCAAACAAGTGGGGCAAAATATGAAAAAGAGCGTTGGCCATATGATTTGAAATTTATTTTAGGCTTAACAAGGGTTGTTTTGTCACTAGATGATCTGAGCGTTCTAGGAGGCACATAGGGTGTTAAAAGCTGTTTTAGATAGTCCGGTGATAAATCATTTAAGCACTTGTAGCAAGTTAAACAGATTTTATGTATGATAGGCTCTTTCACTGGGAGCCAGTGTAATGCTTTTAAGATAGGAGTCACATGATCATGCTTTAGTTTTTTAGTAATTATTTTGGCAGCAATATTTTGTACTCTTTGAGTAGGGATTATCATATCCAAAACAGCTCAAAAGACATTCAGGGGCTGGAAAGTGCATGGTCCAAGGATCATCATGGCCTCATTTGCAACTAAGAAAGAACTCAAGGTAAGAGATGGCAGGAAGAAGGTCATTAACATGAACATCATACAAGTGTATGCTCCAACCAATAATGCAGAAGAGGAGAATAAAGATGACTTCTACAACCGCCTGCAGAGTGTGAACGACAAACTTCCTGGTAAGATCTGGATGAATGTGAAGTCAACGAACACTGGGATAAGATAAGAGAGGCAGTAAATGCAACTTGCCAGAGCACCCTAGGACCCAAAGACAACACCAGGAATGAATGGATTTCACAGGACTCTCTAGACAAAGTCAAAAGAAGAAGAGAGCTGAAGGCCCAAGTCAACAACAGCCTTACCCGAACTGAGAAACGCGCTGCACAACAAGAGTACACCGAAGTAAACCGGGAGGTAAAGAATTCCATCAAGAAGCACAAGAATACCTACCTGAATGGCCTGGCCGAAAAGGCAGAGAAAGCAGCGACAGACAGGAACTTGCGGATTGTACACCAGACAACAAAAACTCTTTCAAGTAGGTTCAGCAAGCCCACTCTACCACTGAAAGACAAAGAAGGAAAGACTATATTCAGCCCAGAGGGGCAACTTAACCGATGGAGAGAACACTTTGATCAAATCTTGAACAGACCACCTCCAGAAAACCAACCAGAAATTCTTCCAGCCGGAAATGATCTCCCAATAGTTACCGAACCACATTCAAGAGAGGAAATTGCAGCCGCTATAAAAACACTGAAGTCCCACTAGGCAGCTGCTCTTCTGTGGTGTAGGCAACAGCCTAGGCCAGTGAGAGATTTAAAAAAAAATATTTCCAATTCCTGTCCTTTACCCTCAAGGGAAGAAGACAATCCATGGCCATATTACGAATTTTAAAGTCAGATTACTCATTTCTTATTAGTTGATTACTAAAACATATGCTGGTACAGGGCAGCCCTGTTCTTTATAAGTCTTGAGCAAGTCCAGGTCTCATATTACCTCAGTCTTACTTGTCTCCTCGAATAAATAACAATTGTCATCTGATTAACATGTAGCTTTTCTTTAACTCATTACAGAAAAGTTAAAAGTAAATTGCAGCCCTTCATTCAGAGCTAACTTGCCCTAGTATGCACATCCAGGTTCTTCATTCTCCATAGAACCACATCTGAGTCGCTATGACATCATGAGGGATAAATGTTCTTAATGTATTTTTAGAGTGAGTTTTTTAAATTTACTTTACCTAATAAAGAAAATTTACTCCTTGCCTTACTTCTCAGATATGATGATGAATGAAAGCCGTCAACACGAAGAGGTGTGGAAGTCACAAGTCCACTTATTAAAGCAGGAGCTGAAGGACCGAGAGCATGACATACAACTGCTGCAACACACAGTGGAGAGAATGAGGGCAAGGGCAGGTGTGTTTTGTCTTGTAGGGATGGAGGACTTTCCCTATTTTCACCTCAAAGGAGATATCACATGGTTGAATGATAATAGGAACATACTTTTCTGATCTTTTAGAAAGACACTGATAATTCATGTCAAAGCACATAGGGTTTGCTGACGAGCTAGGATATGAGCTAAACAAATGTGTCAGACAATATATGCTATCTATTTTTTATAAACAACAAAATGGGGCTTTGATGGTGTAAGAGGTAGGCCTACAGTGTTCGCCTTGATCCAATGTTCTCTGGATTGAAACCTGCCAGCGATGAAACATTTTTTCTCTCTTATGTTTTCCCCTTTGTCCCCCTTTCCTGTTCTTTCGTCCTGTTTTATATTCTTAGCAGTCAACTACCCCATAGATCTAGCCGGGAAATGCAGAAGAAGTAGAAAATTCATGTCAGATGTTCAAGATATGTATAATGTTATTGAAAAGTTTGAAAATGTCTGTATTTTTTAAGCTTCATTTGCTTAACTCATTCTTTGCGCCCATATTTTTTTCCACTGACCTGCCCATTACGTTAGAATTAATTTACTATAAATTTATGCTACAGTCAGCCCCACCTAGTCTCCATTGACAGTAGACCTAGACCAGTAGGCAGCTCCTTATCCTAGTCTTGTGATAAATCTACTACTAGCAGTTGTACCAGCTTTTTAGACATTACTAGCACTAGGTTTAAACTGGGGGCAGGTTATAACTAATGGATGATTCATCTACTGCCCCTGCTAGGGTACCAGGCCCACTCAAAGTCTAGTTTAAAAAAGCATAGATATTTATAACCAGTCACTTCCTCGAGTTGAAAGTGGTACAGGGCTTTTGTTTTGTGTGAACCGTTGCTCTAGGCCATTATTTGGTGCCATCTGAAAACAAAAGGGCTTATTAATTTCGATCGACACTTGGCCATCAATAATTTATTTACAGAGCCATCCATGTTTAGTTGCTGTGTTAGCCTGATCGACACTTCAGACAAAAAAATCAACATGTTTAATTAAAATCATTCTTTTCATAAAGCTGCCTAATAATGAAACTAGCTATAAAAGCTTCCGGCCTTGACACAAATACTTTCGTTTGTCACAGAATATCGCTGAAAATAACAATAGTCTCTGCTAAATATAACCATGTTGTACGATGATAGTGTCGTTCCTGTGTGTAATTCGCCAACAAGCATTGTTTCTGCACTAGGAGATTCACAACTTGATTTTTATGGAGTTGAAGGTGGCAGGAAGGGCCCGGACCTGGCCGGGAATTTAAAGACTTCAATTTATAGAGTGCAGTGGGTGTTTTCTGAACAACTTCGGTGTACCACTTGGCGGCTGGCTGCCCTTGGTGCGGCTGACATCAGCCACAAATGTTGCCTCCTGACCTTGGTGCGGTCGAATCCATGCCCGTTATGCGGCCAGGCCTTAAGCAAGCTTCAAACTCTTGAAAACATGACAAACAATTTAGGAAATCAATGACAAATGCATAAGGTGCAATTTGAAATATGGAAGGCCTACATTCAACTTTAATGAGATTCAGCAGACTCTTGATCGGAGCATGCAAACAAAATGGAAATCAATGACATCGTCATCATCATTGCCTTTCTCACACTGCACCAGGGTGTTGGCCACGAACAAACACTTTCCACCTTTCTCTATCTTGATGTTATTCCATGTCTTCCCATTTTGTGTACATCAATTTCTGTGATTTTTCTCCAGGTTCAACACAGTCTTCCCCTTGATCTTTTACCCTGTGGATTCCAATCCAACACTTTCTTTGCTATGCAGCTGTCTGATTTCCTGAGAGTATGTTCAATCCATCTCCACCGCCTTCTTCCTTCCTCATCTCTGACGGGATCTGTCTTGTTTTCCTTAACACTTCCTCCTTGGTAACCCTGTCTGTCCATCTGATCCACAGTAACTTTCTTAGACACTTGTTCAAGAAAACCTGGATCCTCTTTATGCTAGTCTGAGATGCGCTTTATGTCTCACATCCATACAACAGGACTGACTTCACCTTTGAATTGAAAATCCTCAGCTTTGTTCGAAGTAAGATATCTCTGGTCTTCCAAATAGAAAGCAGCCTGTACTTTTCCAATGCGGTACTTTATTTCAGCACCAGTTCCTCCCTCTCTGTCAGTCAAGATTGCAGAAGGATTCAACATCTTTTAGTGCATTTCCTTCTATTGTAACCTGCTCCTTTCGTTGCGCATTTGTCCTTTGACTTTCCGGGGTGGATCCTCAATCGAACAGACTCTGATAGGCTGTTTAACCCTCGTCCTGCGGGAGCCGGGTTTATGTCGCCCGATAAACCTATATCGGCACCTCGCCTTCGTTCTGGTCCTGAATCAGTGTAGCCCCTGGCTCAGCGCACGCACACCGCGCATCATCTTACGTGTCATTCGGGTCCCGAGTCAGATCCCCATTCACGCAGATCAAGTCTGCTTGAGTTTGTGTGCGTTTGTGGCTTTCTTCTAGAACCGCCTGCGTTGGTTCGTAATCGAGGCATGCGTCTCATTCAAAACATGCAAAGTTGGTAGCTCTAGATGTACGTCTATTGAAATTATAATAATAATAATAATAAGAGCATTTGTATACCGCCTTTCCCCACAGCATGGGCCCAAGGCGTACATAGATTAAAAACGCATTCATACTAACACCATACAAATTCATCATGTACGCACTTTTTGACAGCAACATTCTTTCAGACAATAAAAAATGCTCATACAAAAAGGCAAAGGTACTGTCCATTAATTAAAATATTTCTTAAATAGATGTGTTTTGAGTCCCCTTTTGAAAGTATCAAGTTTTATTTCGCTCCTCAAATCATGAGGGAGAGTGTTCCAAACTGTTGGCCCAGAAAAAGGAAAAGCTCTCTCACCATATTTCTTCAGTGACACACGAGGTGTTGAAATTAGTCTAGAGCCACTGGATCTTAGTTCACGTGATGGAGTGTATGGTACAATTAGTTCTTGAATGTATGTGGGAGACTGCTTAGTTTGACCATTAAAGCATAGTAGGGCTAACTTGTATTCAATTCTCACTTTAAGGGGAAGCCAATGGAGCTCTTTAAGTAGGGGAGTCACATGATGGCGTTTTGATTGCTTTAATACTAGCCTGGCAGCATTGTTTTGAATGCGTTGGAGTTTTGCAATTTTTTCTTCGGGTAGGCCAGCAAACAGTGAATTGCAATAATCAATGCGTGACAAAATTATAGAAGAAATTGACCCACTTAGACATGAGGAGCTCGAAAGGATAGTCAGGAAACAAGACTTCCATTTTTCTATACAAAATCTTTCAAATGAGCTTGATTTTGTATGAAATGATACTACCTGATGAAAAATAAGCTTGTTTGATAGTTTTGAATACCATTGTGCAGGTACAAAGAACAATTTGAGTGTAAAACATTCGGAATTTACCTATATTATCCCCTTTCGAACCTCAGGTCATTCATAACAACAAGAGCGTCCAGAAAGTTTATTCGAATGAGCGTAACTACTCGTAATGTCTTATCAGCTTGTGAAAGGGGGTTATTCATGTGGTTGTAACACTTTATAAATAGAAAGCTATGAAAGATAGAGCGTTATTTTCATCATCGGTTAACAAACTCCCGCGGTATTCATGGCGAAAACACACGTTTCCCGGCGCGCCCGCGCTGTACACCAACAGTACACACTGAGTGACCCCGGCGGCCTGCCCGGCACGTCCAACGTAATCGGTTGCTGATAAGATTCGCATCTCGGCACTGACGCAGGACAAGAGTTAATACTGAAGTCTTTGCTTACACTTTTTCCTGTGTGTGTGACAGAAGTGCCAAGTCATCCACTAAATCCTGATCGACCAACTGTGTCCATGTGGTCTACTGTATCCATTTCTGTGTCCTCTGGTAGTTTCCTTCATCAGCCAATCGACGGCCAATATGAAGATGAAAGGTGATAGTAAATCAATGACAACGTATGCTAAAAGTGCTAGGATGGTAGATCTAGATCTATGTCTACTCTTGATAAGAGCAGAACTGACAAGGCTCTCATCTCTGGTCTCGATCTCTATGTATCCATAGAGAACATCTGCCACAAGGTATGATCTCCTCTGTCATGCTGACCAAGTTAATCTCCACTCTCTGCTGTTGAAACTCCTCTTTCTTGTGTCCATCTAAGAGACTTAGGCCTACTTGGAACTTCGTTCTTTTGATTCCTGTGCTGGTTCCGTACTTTTTGAGTCGAAGCTTGAGTTTTGCCAACAGCAGATGATGATCCAATCCAACGTCTGCCCCTCTCTGTACTATAAATAATTAATTATGGCAGCGGCAGTTTTTTTTCCAGATAGTGATATCTTGTACTGGAGATAGTATCTTCAATGATTCCATTACTTTCACGCTAGAGCTTGTTCGCTTTAGTTGGATGCGATTAGAACAAGGTAAAATGAAATCGCTCCATTTAATCTTCTCAGATCTGTGTGTACGGGTCTAAAAGTTGAATGATCAACAGAATCTGAAAACCCAGTCATAAAGGTCACTGCAAACTAAGGTATTGACATGTTTTCTTTGATGTAAGCCTAAAGTGGGTAAAAAAGATCATAGTGGATTTACAGCATTTAAAAATTGACATATTTTCCTCAACACCATGCTTTAATGTTAAGAAACACGATTCCAGAGATGGGGTGAGTTATTTTCGAGACTCATGTGGAGCACGTGGAGACAGCTTCTACAAGTTTACACTGAAATATAGGGTCAGGGTGGTGTCGATGTCTCAAAATGAGCAGTTTGTAGGCTAGGTTACTGTAAGTCAATTATTTTAGTGATCCTGAGAATGCATCCCAAGTACGATTTTTAATATAAGACCTATAAGAGAAAACATTTTTTATAACTGGATTATGATTTTAAAAAAAATATTTTTGGTTGGTCGCTGGCCTTCAAAAGTGACATGCAAAGTTTCGTGGGCATAGATAAATTAATGAATGAGCTAAAACTTTTTTACGAGAACAGACGAAAGTGAACACGCTATAACAGCTCAAGTGTTTCTTTTGCAGGAAAGCCAAAGGGAAGTCAGGGTAAGAACAGCTCCAGCCAGCAAGACTGGCCACCTTTCCCTCACGCCCCGTCCGCCAGTAAAAATTATCAGCCTGATAACTTTGCTGATGGGGACATGACGACTTTGATGCAAGAGAATCAGATGCTTAAAGCCAAAGTGAGTCTTGTGTGAGGAGAAATGAGTTTGCTTAAATCTCTTAGAGTTTGCCTGTAATGTTTTGGGAGCTGTGATGCAAAAATTCTGATCAAATGCAAAAGAAGAAACAAGTGTGAAAAGAACATGATTTTAAATGTGTTACTTTCTCTGTGTGCCCATCAATACGTACAACAGACTTCTTTTTCTCTCAATAACTATCACAGCGGTTCCTGGAAAAAATGAAGTTTTGTTTGCCCTAGCTAGTAGATGTGTAAGGCTTTTTTTGTGTAGGAACTGAATGCTGTGTGTTAATGGCAAACTGTTTGTAGTTTATGAATTACGGGAGTAATGTTCGTTATTTGTGAATGGATAGTTGGATGGCGCCACTATAGTGCAGTCAAAAATTCATGGTGCAATTCCTAAAACATCTTTTTAATGGGAGAATCAATGTCACCCATACTTTGCATAGCAGTTTGTGTCAGTTTGTCTTTGCTTAATATTTTCTCACAACGATTGAGGCTAGATTTTAAAAACTTTCTTCATAAATGTATATAAAATTCTACACATTTCCGTCTTGCAGAAAATGGGATTGTTCACAGCACTTCCCGCTTCTCACACACATTTTGCGTACGCATATATAGCCTATGTCACTTCTGACCAATGACAATTTTTAGTGGCAAAACTTGTTACAAGAAATTGATGAAATGGTGAACACCTTTTTAAGTTAAAGATTTTCAATTATTGTCCCAACTGTAAACCTTTTATAATCTGTAGAAACCATGAACTGGAATTTTTCCTTAGTATTTATAAAGGAATTTTCTAGAATACAGGTGACATGTGTTTGCAAAAATATTGATTTGTTAAGACGAATTGATACAGTCATTGTGCGCAACCTATTGTCAAATATCTCATTACAGTTTAGGAAATATTTGACAATAAGTTGCGCAGTGAACTTTTTATCACACTATGGTAGGTCCTCTTTTACTCTCCCTGTCTGTCTGTCTGTCTGCCTGCCTGCCTGCCTGCCTGCCTGCCTGCCTGCCTGCCTGTTTTGCTCTTTCCCATCGTTAGATAACTATTTTCTTGTTAATGTACTTCACTTTTTATGAACAAATAAACCATTATTCATGTCTTTGAAAAATACAGTGGAACTTGGTTCAAGGAACTCGAATTCAGCGAAAATATGGATTCAATGAAAGGAGATGAATTCCCCCTTGTTTTATTCATTGAAATTAATTTTTTTTTAAATAACTCAGTTTTAACGAACACAAAATAGGCAAACTTGGATTCAATGAAGTGGCTTGCAGGGTGAACGACGCCCGCAACAAACTTTATCTCTTCCTGGAAACCACTTATGGCCTCTGCATCATGAACCATTATTCGCGTATTGTATATCTTATTCAACCAATCAGCGGCTGTCTGTTATACCAACACACTCTTTGTTGGCTTGCACATGTATCTTTGGGGAGTCAGGGTTGGACAGGCGGCCATCACAAATGTGACGTGTGACTGTGTGTGTGTCCATGTGTCTGGAATGTCAGTAGTCAGTAGAGATACAAGCATGTCACAATACTCACAATCGTTTTTCCCCCACGGCTACTGATCAATATTACATTGATAAGCTAGTCTTGAGATAGATCTACAAATTGAAATGTGCGCTGGACTGTGGAATCAAATGTTGTCGTATGCTAGGTTACACACAGCAACACAACTTGTTTGACAAACAATACATCATAGATGATAGAGGAGATGAACGAATCAGACCTTTTGCACAGTGTGTGCTTAACCTCTTCACTGCTGTGCCCGTAGAATTGACGGGCCTGAACCCTGTAGCAGTGTGCCTATTGCCCGTAGAATTTACAGGACTCTGACTGAGGTTGTTTTCATACCAATTATAAGGGAAGTTACTGCTACAATCTTGTAATTATTATTGAAGTACCTTCCTTTCATATTTACCTCCATTTTCCACCCATTTGAAAACGTCAGATTCAGATTTTAGCTTGAAGAGAAAATTAGATCTAGATCTAGATCTATCACATCTGCCACGCGAAAATGATTTACGGGCAGTAAACACAGAACGGCTTACATGTATATGGGCAATTCTCCTGAAAACTTGAACTTGCACATACCCTTTACTACAGACACCATAAAAAGCTGAATTTATTTCAAATCATAGTTAAAATTAGCTAAGCGGGGGGCGAAAAGGTTGCCAAACCTGGACTAGGCAGAAAATATCGAATATAACGATATGCTGAAACAGTGTGGGGCTTTTTTTGTTAAAAATTCTGCAATTTTTAGGTATGAAAATGTAACATTCACCAGAGACAGTTTTCATCCGAAGATTTCTCTAAGAATTGTCAGCATCTCATTTTCGTAATTAAGGGTTCAATACTGATCTTAAGTAGAACTTTCAGGGTAACCGACAAATATAATAATATGCTTATAACGGCCCATTTCTTCATACAAAGGACTACACGTCTCGTCCATAAAATGGTAAAAAACAGTAACCCTATCTTCAGTTTAATCGATCTTTTAAAAAGTGTACTTTTTCACTATAGAATTAGAGATACGATCACTTTAGTCATTTCATGAACCAAGAACAAAATTGCTACAGCGATTACGAATTTTTGGCGGTAAATAGCTGCGTCTGTGAAATTTTGTCAAGTTGTAATGATTAAGATCTGCGTGTTTACTTCCGTCGGAAGTTGCTCTAAATTTTAGTGCGGTGTTTTTATGTCAAGTGCACTTGTTTTTATGTCAAGTGCACTGATTTCCAATCAACTTGGCTTTCATCTATTTCCCGGTTAGACAACGGTGTCTATAGAAAGTGAATATGAATGACTTTGTCTCGCAATTTTAGCGGTGTAACGATTAAGATGTAAGTACTGATTAAGCCTTGAATTGCCTTAAAATTTGCTTTCTTTGTGATATGACTGCAAAATGAGTGATTCATTAATGAAATCTAGGAGTCCCTCAAGGAAACGGATGAGTTTGGCCTCATGCCAAAACAAGTTCATAGAGTTTGTTGTTTCGAAACGGAAATTGGACAAAGTGTTTGATTTCGTCATTGTAACGATTTAGACTTGGTCTTTGTGTTTTATCTTTATATAGAATGAGTAGCTATTTAAAAAATTGTATTTTAAGTCTTTCATGCGTTGATGCCACATGTTTTTAGCTTTGGGGTTGGCAGTTGAGGCAATTGAAGTTGACAAATTGTTATCGTTGTCTGAAACATTACTACCCCCAGTTGGTCGGGGGATATAAATAGACCCACTTCTTCGTCTGCAGAAGGTGCAACCCCCTCAAAGGCGGAGTGTCGCACACGGACCCCAACCCTCTGGGATCCGTGTGCGACACTTACTTTGGTGTATCTTCCTCTTCTCCTTCCTTCTTTCTTTCTCCTTCTATCTTTCTTCCCACCGCTGACCTCATATGCAGAAAAAAGAGAGGTCACCCATCCCACAGAGTGGGCGCCTTGTTGACCGTGAGGTGCGACCCGTGCAGAGGGAAACCGGGTACCTGGCGGTTGAGATGAGATCAGTCTACGGACTGTCCCTCACCAACACACCTCTTTGGCACCAGGTTTTCCTCTTAGACGGGAGGGGGGCACGGCCCATGCCACTCAATCGGTTGGGAGTTGAAACAACATCAAACCCTGGGTCAATCTTGACGGGAGGGTTTTATGCACTCTCGTGGAGAGTATAGCTCCGGGGTAGCCCTGACACAGCTCTGGTCATCCGAGCAATGTGTCCCCTTGTTGGGCTCGATGGCGGTCCCGGAGTTGAACCACCTAAAAAACTCTCATGGATTCCTCATCACTTAAAAACCCTACCCCAACTCCCAACGTAGCCAAAAAATCTCGGCTCGCGGAAGCAGGTGCGGCCGCCGAGCCGAGCAAACAAACTACTAAAGGGAAAAGGACCTTTACGTCTGCCTCTGCCCTCCCCCCTCTCAGGGAGCTTCCGCGGCAGCTGTACTTGACCATCCGCAGCACCGATGCGCAGAAAAAGATCACTGATCTAAACATATTCAAGTCAGGAGATGCTCTAAGACAGGTTCTGGGTATGTCCAGAAACTGTCCTCTGGTGCTCTCCTCATCAAGTGCGCATCGGATAAAGAACTGGCCGGACTTGAAAAGATTACGACCTTCGGTGGTGTTCCTTGTGTTTCCAAGCGACACCAGAAGTTTAACGAGTCGAAGGCCGTGGTCTGCAGCCATGAGCTGAAGGGCTGCTCCCACCAAGAAATTGTGGATAACTGTGAGGGTGTGGTCGAAGCTCGCCAAATTACTATTCAGCGGGGGGAGTCCACACTAGAAATGAACACAATAATTCTAACTTTTGATTCGTGCCGCCCTCCAGCCACCGTTCGGGCATCATACTTGGTCTTGGACGTGCGACCCTATGTGCCAAACCCTCTACGCTGCTTTCAGTGTCAGAAGTTTTGCCATAGTCAGTCGCAATGCCGACGTGCAGCCGTGTGTCCTGGCTGCGGCAAGACTGGGCATCCTGAAAAGGAATGCAAGGCTAGTCCTTGCTGCCCAAATTGCCATGGCCAGCACACAGCCTTCCGCAAGGATTGCCCGACTTGGATCCAAGAACGCGCAGTCCAAGAGTATAAAGCATGAAATGACTGCTCTTTTCAAGAAGCCCGAAAAGCTGTCTGCCCGCCAGGTATGACCCCGGTCCTTGGCTGGTCATATGCAAGCGTACTCCGGCCAGTCACGAAGTCGACCAGTGCTTCCACTGTCGACCCCCCAGAACCCATGGTCAACAAGCGACTTACTGCGAAACACAAAAAGGTTCCTCCTAAAACCGTGGTACCCACCTTCCAGGTATCACTAACTAACCGCTTTGGGGTTCTTGGGGAGGATGGGGTGGACTCTTTCTCCGCCCCCCCTTCTCCCCCTCACCCCTCCTCTATTACTTCTTCTTCTTCTACTTCCACCTCACAACCCGTCTCTCTGATGGAGATTGAGATACTCCCTCCCCCTTCTCCCCAGCCCCCTCTGTCTGCTCCAC